GCTTTTAATTCATCCACCAGGCAATATGTCCACTTCTCTGCTTCACCTAATTTATACCATCTACTCTTTGATAGCCTGCGTTACAGTTTTCAGTTCTATATTATAGTTTTCTGTGAGAGCGGCTCTGCAAAATGATTTTGTCCTGGGTAGTCCTTTCCTTGCCTAAATCTGGGTGTTTGGTTCTTTCCTGGGAACTTATAGCCTAGAGGATGAAATGAGAAGTCTATTTCAAGGCTTTTGCAGTACATTGCTTGTTGTCATAGAGTCAAAGGCCACCAGATAATAAATGAAATGAACTGAACAGGCTAAGAAGCTGTAGTCCTCAAAAGCATGTTTACTTCAGACCTGAAACCAAGCACTGTGATTACTCAAGTTTTATATTCGTAGACGACGGTTTCGGTTTAGCCCCTGTGAAATGCACCACTAAACCCATGCTAACCCCTCTGAGATTATCAGCCATTTCAGTATCTTGGCTCATTTAGCAAATCTAACCATTAAATGATAAATGCACTTTAAACAGGGTTTTTTTCACAGCATCTGAGCATTTACATTTCTCCCTCCTCTGTTGTGCAAATGTGAGGAGGCATACTTCATTGTGTAAGAGGCCCCTTTCGGAACATTTGTTTTCCCCCAAACTGAGAAGATCTAGAACAACTCAGTTGGCTAAATTTTAGCCCTAAGGGGGCTGGTCTAGAGACTAGTTTGCTGTATGCTGTTGTTGCTATCTCCAAACATTTCAGCTGCCACTCTACTTCCGTGTGCCTTCTGAGGCTGTTCAAAACTGCTTTAAATACGCCTTTGAGGACTTACCGTCTTCATCTGCATGTACGTTTACGTGTGCAGGGAGTTGGGGCTAACAACCACATAGGCTTAACCTGTAATGCTGTATCGCCCTTGGCTCAGTATTTTTTTCTATCCTACCATTTTTTTCTTACCAAAAAGCTGCTAGTGCACGTTGCTATTTGTCAGTCATTTGCCCACCTAAGCAAACTCAGTTTCTGAGAGCTCCTGTGCAGTTTATTGCCAGCTCCTGTTTCCCCAGGGAATGGGACATTGGAGCCGATGGGGTCGTACTGCTGAATTAGTTGGACTGTATTGGAGCAGTTTGGGGAGATACCAAAGGGGTCTCTAGTTGTCTTTTCTGAAGCATCATTCCAGGAACAAAAAAAACAACAGAACAAACTAACTTTGCTGCACTTAGCACAATCTATCCAGCTGAGGGACCTGAGTTGGTTATTTTAAAGCTGGACAAAGACAAGTCATTGGACCTGGGATATTAAGGACCAACAAAGGCTCCCATAACACTTTGAAAAACACCTTTCTAAAAGTATTTTCACTGAGATCTAGTGTTTTCTTCTCCTTCATTCTTCCTTTTTTGTTGTAAATGTTTGTGCAAAGTCAGGGCCTTTGATTTTGGTATTGGTTCTCTGCTTAAAGACATGGGAATAAATTCGCCTGTCAGCAGCTAGACTTTACTCAAGAAGGATCATTCTTGCAGGATTTTTGACCAGTCTCCGAGTCCAGAGGTCTACAGCTTTCCTGTAAACCTTGGGAGAGCAATCTGCACTTCTGGGATCTTTGCTGCACTAAGCCTAAAGGCCACATCTATTCTTTTCACTACTGTATTATCTGGCAGTCTTTCAGCAGTGCATTTCTCTACTGCCCTGCTCTGGTGGGAATAACGTTGTGGCTTGGGGCTGAACTTTTTCTACTGTTGCTAAAAGAGCAGCATTTCAGTAGCTGTTAGTAGCTGCCTCTGCTTTCTCTTTCTAGGGTTGAAAAGTGGGAGGTGTAGTCCTCAAACCAGCACCAGATACTTGTGTCCTTCTTCACATTGCATCTATGCTGCAAACTGAACACAGCAAGAGAGAGACTCCAGCATTATCTGAATTACAAAGTCATTCTATTGTCAAGCCTTTTTAAGTGTCAAATTCTCTTTTAAAACCAAAGGCTGTGACATTCAGTGAAGAACAGCATCGCTTCAAAGTCAGGAAGGTCTATTCTTAGCACATCAGTCAAAAAGGAAAAAAAAAAAAAGTCTTTGGGGGGGAAAAAAAACCCAATTTTACCAAAATGAACCTTGTCAGAAATGATCAATTCATCTTCCATTCGGATTGACCTGGTCCTCGCAGCATGCCAGAGGACAGAATTTGATGACACAGCACAATAAATTAAGATTGCCAGATCTCCTTGTAATTAATTCTCTTGCAGTGCAGTTTTGGCAAAGAATAATTTATCTTCAAGGTGATTAAATCACTGGTAGTTTTGTTTTGTTTTGTTTTGTTTTTTTCCTTTTTAAGGAACATTTCTCCTCAGTTAGTTGAAGAATAGATGCTGATGAGTAACAGCCACCTCCTGGTATTTTATTCATGCTCTTTAAATACATCTTCCTGCTAGACCAATGCCTCCTCAGCAGTTAAGAGACAAAGTTAAGACTGAGCACATCATAACCCAGAGGGACACTGGGGCTGTGCTGCACTTTCCTGATTTCTGGAGTGCAGCCCCTCAGAAACCCCCACTGTGCTGGAGAGCCCAGGTTTACTCCCACCCCGACCTTCAAATCTGTGAATGTCACATCCAGCCAATTTGACACTCGTACAGTACTTTTGCCTTTACTATTTCTCATTGGAAAACTTGAGTCTGAGTTCATAAAAAATAAATAAATATGATCTATAGCCTAATCATGATTTATAATTGTACAGTATAAAAATTGTGATTCTTGAACTAAACAGAACTTCTTCTAAAGCATTTATATTAATACATACCCTACAAATTATTTACTCTTCAATTAAAAGAGAAAAAAAAATTATTTAGCACACTAGAAACTTAGGAAAGACATCTGTGTTGTTTCTTCAAAGCTGAGTCTTCTAAACTCTGCTTATAAGGAGCTTCTACTGGTGGGCTCTTCACGTTCAAGGACTGAGAGAGTGCAAAGAGCTTTTTCCAACCTTCTTGAAAAAGCCACGCAAATGTCTTTGTATCTTTAATTAGATGGGGACAGAGTTTTAACTATTCTGAGAACTTCCCTCTTTCTGAAGAAGGGATTCAATTCACTGGAGGATGATGCTGGAACAAGTATGCTATCAAAGCAGATTCTTAATGTCCCTGTGTATGTCCTGACCATCTCCAGAGAGACTGTCATTAATGTGCTTCTGTCTCTTTCGTTCTCTTTAGTATTCATGCAGTGATGATCATGTGAAAATTACTCACACTTCTGACTTGAGAAAACTTTCTTAGCCCAGAAATTCATCCAATATCAAGGGAATTAGAAATTCAAATGGGGGGAAATTATACACTGTGTGTGTCAATACAGCAAACCTTATAAAAGCTGCAATCAATCATATCAGCATCCAAGGTGGTGGTACATTTCCTTGTCACCAAGTGGATCGCAGTCCAACAAATAAAGGAAAAGGCGCATCGGAACAAGAAACTCGGGTATGCTGCCTGGAGAGAAGGACAGCCTCGTCCGAAAGCACGGATCTGGAGTCAGTTCTGGGGCTTCTTTGTATCGTTATCCATGGTTATGCACAAATCCTGTTTGTTTATTTGTCTTGCCTATTTATCTGCTGCTTAGGCAATACTGTAACGCAGGTTCTGTCTCTCACTGTGTTTATGTGCCACTTCAGTAGAACAAGTACTTTCTCTCAAAGTCTTCAATTATTTAAATGGGCTGTTGCACACTGTCCCCTTAACCAAACCTCTACATGGGTACTCCAGTCCTTCCCCTGCACTGACACCTAGAATGTTCCTGTTGCAAGTTAAACCCAGATACCTTATGCCTGGGTGCAGCCTCACATTAGGCAACCCACTCTGCAAATCGTTTAAATTCATTAAATGAATGCAATGATCCATACTGGTTTCCCACTGTCCGGCTGCCGACTGAACAGTGTGTGGTACTGAGTGGACTTCCGTTATGATATCTTTTTAGGTTTTTTTTAAATCTATATTATGTTGTATGACTAATCAGACAAACAACTCTCCCCCCCAAAAACACCTCCCGAAATTATTGCAGTTTGATGTTTCACATGTACAATGCCAAACCTAATGCAGGTATGTGTAAAACCCAGCAATGACTTACGGAGACTGCAACTCATTCCTGCATGATTCTGTCTCTCTGCTACTCTCCTTATGTGTTTTGACTGCCAAATTTTGTGGTTTTGTAGGTCTTGTATCTCAGCTCTCTGCTGTCAGCTCCCCGAGATGCAAGAAGTAGGCACGGCCCAGATGCTTGCCTGAAGCAGAAATAGCACATCTTTCTACTACTATTCTCTGTCAGGTCCCCTGAGTCTTGAATTTCTGGCAGACAGCATTCCATAGGGAGAAAAAAAAACCCAGACCTTTAGCTTGCAGTTGTTGTGAAAACCTGATGCTGGTTTTGGTGTAATTTAGCAGACTGAAAGAGAGATATAATAAATCTGTTATACTCTCTCAGTGAATCGTTAAGATTATGCTGCTAAAAACCGTTCAGATTTTGGAATATTCAGTAATCCCCTGACGTTTCCAGGGGCTTTTTGTGTATTCCCAGTGTTCTGTTTACGTAACAGTCTGCAGCTTTGAGGGGGTACGTGTACTGATAAGTATATGTTTCTGGATGGGTGTTTTCAAAACTCCAGGGCAGAGAGAGGACAGGAACCAAGCAGCCAGAAGGATAAACAGCTCCTGTTAATGATTTAAGGGTTTATGTGTATATGTATATATTTATTTCAGACTGGTGTGTAGCAAAGGTGAGCAATAAAAGCCCCATTGCTTCTAATGTTTAGAATACGCCAGTACACAGTGTGTGCAATGAACTAGCTTGTGTCTGTATGGGTATAGGTAGATATAACTGCGTGTGAAGGTAAGCCTACACGTGCAGGTAGATGGATAGGTGCATGCAGCTGCCCTCTGCAATATTCAGAATTGTCACTGGTGTCTCACAAGCCCCGTGGTGACAAGCAGGGGCTGAGATTTGCTGGCAGCTGCCGAGCTTTCGGAGGAGGCAGCCGCACGGGATGGCTTACCTTCTGTGCTCTCCGCTTGTCGGCTCTCTGGTTCTGGTGGTAAATTCGGCTGAAGTTGGAAACAATGACTGGAACGGGCAGAGCAATGACCAGCACCCCGCTCAGGGAGCAAATGGAGCCAAATATCTTCCCAGCAATGGTCTTGGGCACCATGTCACCATAACTAGAGGGGGAAAAGAAAAAAAGAAGGGAAGCCCCTCCTTCAGACAAGTGCACCAAAAGCCTTCTCAGGTTCCCTGAGCGCACAGCAATGTGAGTGTCCAGATTGGACACTAAAGCTTAGAAATCCATCCTGCAAGCAACAATTCATGTGGTGCTGTCATCCTAGAGATAGCAATTACACCGCGCTTGGGCAATGAATTAAGCTAAGCCAAAGAAAGGCACTCTTGTTGCAGAATAGATGTGCCAGTTCAGGCAGCTGCTGAGCACGTTAAATTCATGCCCTCACTCATTTAGTACCTACCTCTCCACGCAGATGAGCTCTAACAAACTTAAAACTGTACGTCTGCTTGTGAGCAGGTTCATATATTTTCATTCCCTTGTATCCAGGTGCAAACGAGGACTGATTTACACTTCTGTGTCAAAACCCAGCATTTCCTTGCCATCTGTACAGTCAGAAATTGGGGTTCATTCAAAGTCTGGATTCAGTAAAGGGTGAATTGTCAGGAATATGAAACCAGCTGAAAAATTATTCAGACAAACCTCTGCACTGGATTTGACCCAGCAATCTTCATTAACAATTGTAATTTGTATGTTAAATAACACCAGCAGAACTGAGATGGAATAATCCATTTTATGCAGATGGAAGATGATGCTGGTTTAGGTTCTGTGGATTCCACGCGACAGAAATCACCACTCTGTTGAGTGCTTATTTGCTGTTTGTGTTTTTACTTCGCATATTGCGAAAGCTTTCTGCAGCAGTTTTATACTTAAGCTTAAGCGTTAATACTGTCCTTCTGTAAAGAAAACCAACGTGCGTTGCCTTGTGGCTACTCACCAGTGCCCTAAGAAGGAGCATGGCTGTTATTCCCCCATGGAACATACGGTACTGAACCTGCCCTGGGGCTCGGGCACGTGATTGACTGCGCTGGCTCACTGAATGCTGCGTTATCGTGAAAGTAACGGGGAATTCTGAATTCTGATTTACAGTTTGGCCCAACGCAATCCCCACGTTGCATCCCAGGTGATTGGACCTCTTAATTCTAACCGACTGCGCCATCGCTCACGATTCCCCTACCTCGCAGCACAACTTCGGATATCCAGCAAGCACCAGATGTTGGCAATGCAAATGTTGTGCCCTGCGCTCAGCAGATGCGGTGGTAAACTCCATGGGAGGCTCTTCCTCCCCTGCAGTTTGCCCTCTAGAAGTGACTTCAACAATGCTTTCTTCTGCAAATGGTTGATAGGCAAATAAAAACCCATCCAGAAAGCTGGATGTGGATTGCAGTGTGTTCTGATCATGTAACAAAAAGCTCATTTGTAGCTAATGCCCCTAGAGTATGATAGGAACACAATTAGCACAGCCACTGACTGGATTTACAGGCCTTGTTTCGGTGAGCCATTTATCACATGCTTGCATGCAAATGTATATTAATATCAATATTCATTGAACTAATTTTCATCTGGAGAAAAGGGAAAAGCAAGCAGCCAAATAACAGATTTTTTAAAAAAAAGTCTCTGATACTGAAATGACCATGTACAAACCACTGGGGTACAGGAATTCCCGAAGTACCTCTGTGACTCAGGAGGACACATTGTACGCTGTGAAATCCCACTGCAAGCAGGTTTATGTGACCTGGCTACACCCTGGAGTAGAAGAGAGGTCGCAGGCACTGCAACCTGCTGCAGTTTTGCAGTAGACAGGGAAAGGATGCTAAAATCAAAATCTGGGCCTAAGGAAGACATCCCTTGTTTCAGGGTGCTTGAAATCTGGAGAGGCCCATAGTTGCTACCAGATGGTGTTTGGGATTTCCATGCTCTTCTTTGGGATGTTCTGGTGTTTGAGGCAGCAAATATTGAAAAGCAAAATGATTTACCGTTGAGGCTTTATTTTTACCTTTGATGTCTGCATATGACCAACAAAGAGCTTTTATGGGAATTGAGTTGTGCTAAGAATAATTTATGTCCAAGGGGAAAACCAAATATTTCAAAACACCTTTTTTATCAGCTGAACGTCTTTCCCCTATCCAAGAACTCATTGGTATGAGTGTCTCTGAATAAAAGCAGAACTCATTACACATTAACTGCTTGCTCCTGGGAGTCGCTCATGGGCTCTCTTTCTAGGCTCAGTGGCTAGACAGTGTGGCCAAGCAGCTGGGTAAAGATTATCATCGCTGGGCTGTCACACTCACTTGTGTCCCAGGAAAGGCTTAGTTTCAGGCTAAGTGACAGCTTTTCTTTGGCATTTTCAGGTTTTTGGTGTTTGGGGTTTTTTTTGGTGGTTTGTTTTCTTTTTTTTTTTTTGGTGTAAATGCTTCAGGCTTCACTAGCTAAGGCTTAATTATCCAAGCAGAATCCTTTTCCTGCCTTCACCTGCATTAAAACTCCTCAGAATACCTCAAATCAATAAAATGCTATTTATGTCTATTAACTTTTTAGGTGCTGCTTTATGCAAGGATAGTTTAAAAGCTCTTGCTAAGTGACAAGGTCTTTGCCTCATTTAACACTGTTCTAAAAAAAATCTTTCTTACTTTTCTCCTGCCACCCCTTAACACAATAAGGCTGAAAATTAATCATATGCCTCAAACATGATCTTGGTGACCTGGAGCACTGAGAGAAAGCCCTTCCGTGCATTTGTAGAAAGTATAATAATAAGTGTCTGGCTCACAGTCTGTCTTGTAGAGTTTTGTTCTTACACGCAGACTGAGAGTTACCTCATTACTTGGGACTTCAGACAAGGTGCTTTAAAACACCATCAGGAAAGATGTCTTGGAACACAGAGGATTTTGCTGGGGAGATGTAGAACTTCATTTGCAAAACTATTATGAGAGGTACTGCAATGAGAAATTTTGCACTAGCTGGAGCAGGCTGCACAGAAACAAGACCTAAAACCTGGATCTACCGCAGAGTTATCTGCGGAGAGAACGCTGTTAGATTTGTCCCTCTGGGTTTGCATGGCATGTCGTGTACTTCCAGCCATGTTTTCTGGCTTTACTGGGCTGACCTGCAGTGTGAGTGATACTGATGTTTGGAAATGTCATAGCTTTTTGATCAGAGCAAAACCCAGCTATGCTTCAGCAGAGCTTGATTTAGATCCCCTTGCACTTAATGAGGGGCCTCCCTTTGACTTTGATGGGGTTTGGAATGAACCTATAAAGTTGCAATTGTTCTACTCCTGTATTGACTGTAGCTACTGCAATATTAATCGCTGGAGTGACTATTTTTGTCCTGATGGTACCACAAGGTACTAATGGCCACGTGGCATATTTATAACAGATACAGTGCCAAATAATCTCAGATATTGGATTTCAGTTAGTACTAATTGGGCATTTTAAACCCCAAACTTCTTTTCCCCAGACTGGAATGAGAGAACTCAACTTTCCCTTTAATTTATTTAGTAAAAGGCAACTTGTCACCTAAAAAATTTCTTCTACAGAAAGTGCATTTTAAGTAATTCATCAATAATCTCATTAGAGCAGCAAGAAGATAGAAAAGTTAGGTAATGATTAACATTCAGAGGGTCTAACAGGATGTTTGAGCCTGTAGTAAAAAAATGGGAGGCTGCAAATTCAGTAGACTTTTAATGTGACCTCTAGTAAATAATTTCAGCTTTCTGTACCTCAGTTCCCCATTTATGAAATGGCAATTGGTTACTGATTCTTTGCCTGCTTGGTTAAGTAGGTGCTATGTTCTTCAGAGCAGGAGCTGCTCCATGTTCTGAATATACCCCACACCCAGCAGTGACCCCTAAGTGCTACTGCCTTACAAATATTAATAATGCAAAGCAGTTGTACAGAAGTCTGGAGTAAACACAGCCTGTACGTGGCTCCAGGCTTGTCCAGAGATAAATGCTGAGCATCGGCTAGGTTAGATGTGGAACATGTCTAGAGAGAAACATCTTTTCTATTTATTTTGCCAGGAATCCGGTTAGATGGCAACAGATTCAGCCAGTTTTCAGTTGCTGAATTCATTGCTCTGCTTACTGGCTGTGCTCGGTGAGATACACCTGCTGCCAGACGAGCACTGGGGCGTGCGAAGGCGTGCAACCTTTGGGAGGAGCTGCCCTTGCTGCTGCAGTCCCTTCGGTGCTCTGCACGCTGATGGTGATTCTGGAGCCTCTACGCATGTATCCCATGTTTCCAACGACATAGCTTCGGTTTGTCCCCTTTTCTTCTCCTGCTGTCCCTTCAAAGCCCCATTTCCTACCAAGGAAACACTGTGAACACTGAGACTTCTACCCACTGGACAAATAATGTAAGGTTCAAGTAAAGCCTTAAACAGACAAACCAGGAAAAAACCAAAATAGGATGTTACTTTTAAGTGGTCACTCTTTAGACTGGAAAAGACTGCAAATGCAGAATTTCAACATTTATTTTTATTTGTATTGTGACTTCTGTGTTCTTTGGATATAAAAGGGGTCATATACCACTCACCCTAATTAGCAGCTATTAGCCTTGACAGCATAACGTGCTGTTGTTTTTCTCTCTGTCAGTACAGAAAATGCTATCAAATAGAGGTCACTGCTTCCGAGTTCTGGTTTTAGCGGTAGAGGTGTCTGGACAGTGCTTAGCTCCTTCAGCTGGAGACAGCAATAAATAAGGTGCTGAACAGCTCATCAAATGACTCACTCTAAAAATAGACTCTCAGCAGCATCTCTGATGATCCTAGCTCTCTGTGCAACACTCACAGCCCTATAAATGGGGAATTGTAGTAAAAAAGCTGGAAGATCCTACGGTATAGGGACATTGGAAGGTGCTACAGCGGTAACAACTCCGTGGGGACAGGGAAACAGCTTTTCAGAGGATGCTCTTTTCCAGCAGCCTTTTTATGTGCCAACTTTTCAGCCGGTATAAGGCATGCACCTGAGGAGGGGCGTACGGTTCATAAATCACCATTATTGTATAGCTGTTGTTTCCAGTGGTTTCTCTAGATGCAGAGGAGATAAGAGTGCAATTGAAAATTGCTAAACCTGTATCTCAACACCTTCCTTCTTACCAGTAAAAG